TCCCCGCGGTTAACGCGGGCGGCAGCGACAGAGGTCACGGTGAAGTTCGGGTCAGATGCATTGGCGGGTTACAGACCAAGCAGGGCGCATGACTTTCTAGTCTCTGAAGATGAGTTGGCGAAATAACCACCTGAAGTGTCAGACCTCCGATGATTTCAGCTGAGGATCTCGTCTTTACTAATATTGATTCTCAGATGTTGACTAAGGTAGGAGATTTAGAGAGCCCGGATGACTTTGTGGCGGTTAAGGAGGCAGGCTGCCGCGAGTTGGCTGTCCGCTTGTGACAGAGCTCAGTCGCGCGCGGTTTGTTTACGCGGGAGCGCATGTCTGCGTCAGCAGGAGGGGAGTGGCTGGCGGAGTGTTGGTCATGTGATTGGACGGATTAGGGGAGAACTGGGGGAACGCATACTCACAACGGTTCACGGGTATCGAGCCAGGCCGTCCGACGCGCGTGAGGTGATGAAAATTTGTGTGGACAGTCGGGAGCCACTGAAGCTGGACCGGGCGGTAGGTGCCTCCTGTGGGTGGTCGTGTGTCGACGGCCTGTCAACGGTTGTCGCGGCCATCGACCGACAAAACGGAGCCGGAGAAGGGGGCCCCGGGGCGGCTGGCGGGTGACAGCTCCAAGACGGACAGTGATCTACTGTTTTGTACTTTTATTAGTCTAGATCAGACCTCCAGGCCCCTGGTAGTGAGAGCATTCTATAATGTACAAAATGTATGATAAATATACAGTGGCCCTATTCCGGGAGCCCGTTGTGGCACCGGGCCTCTTGCGAGTGCACGCCGGATTTTCCTCCGTCCACAGCTTTTCAGGCGGAACCGACTTACAATAGATGGGCTAATTCAGGAGATGTCAACCGAAAGTCCGAAATGCGTTTCCGTTTTGAAAAGATTAATTAAGTAGGGTTGTAAAACTAACCATCCCGTATTATAATTCTATCATAATTCAGTTACCTCAGGATGCCGGCTTTCGAATGAACTTATTTCTAACTGCATGCAAGATCTATACTCCGAAAAAATAACTACTTAACGGTATTTTTCTCATTGATTTTTGATGCCCTTAAACGTTCAATTATATTTCATGGAAAACATGAATGGAAATGTCGATTCTTCCACTCATTCGGTAGAACATTACGTCTGCTTTCAATTTTATACTCGAAGGAGGGATAAAACTCAGTTTTGAAAAGGAAAATACATGGCTTGTAGTTTGGGAACCCTGAATGCGAGTGTGACGGCAGAGCGGGTTCAAAATTATTCGGGAATTGGAAACGTTTTTAAAAAACGGAATAATACCCTTCTGTTGAGTATAAAATTGAAATAAGGCGTAATCTTCAGCCTAATGAGCGGAAGAGTGAATATTTTTATGCCTGTTTTCCATGAAATATAATTGGACTTTTAGAGGCATCGAAAACCAATGATACAAACTCGTGCTACTTAAGTACTCATTTTTACGGGCTCTTTTTTGCATTCAGCCGGATAGAAGTTATTTAAATAGCCAGCATCTTGAGGTAACTGAATTATGATAGAATTATGCTACGCGGCGGTTAGTTTTACAACCCCAACTTATTAACCTTTTAAAACGAAAACGCATTTGGGAATTTCGGTTGACATTTCAAGAGTTAGCCCTCCTACTGCATGGGTGTGTCCCATGAGAACAGGAATCGCCTGCTACAGGGGTGGCTGAAAGCCAGCGTCCAATGAAATAAGGGTTAGTTTAAGGACTAGGTTTAAGGATGATTTAATGTTGACGGTCAGGTTAGTCAGGATCAAGTTTAGGGTTATGCTAGGGACCAGTGTTAACTGCAGAGTTAAGGTTTTGGGGTGGAGTTATGGCCAGGATTAAGACAACGGTTTAGTTTTACACTAGGCTAATTGTTGGGATCAGAACACGGGAATATTTTGTCTTTCCGAGAATTATCCGCAGATTTACGAATTTTCTTGAAAAGAATTTTGATGCGAAGACAGAGGATAGAGTGACAAGAAGGTACAGGAAAGAGGATCACGCGTTGAGAAGAATGTTCAGAGATTAGGAAATGGGAGAGGATCGTAGTCAACACACACTCTGGACTGCTTTCGGATTATTAAGTATGACACTCTTTTCCAACTACCATGCCGAGAACTGGTTCAAGGCATTCTTCAAAAAACTGGATATTAGTCCGGTTTTTGAAAGGGTGACCAACGACTACATCGTCAGCATACTTTACATAGATACAGTCATTTGGAGATCACAATTCATAAGTATGGCAAGATAAAAAGGAACCTCGAAAGATCTCGCAGTTACTGGGAAGAACAGATTATTTCCGAATGAATCTCGCAACACCTACATATATTCACCTACATATTTTCCGTTCATTGGCTGTCGTTTGCGGATCTTATAGGCACTGGGGTGTTCTGGTCTGGTTCAGGTCATAATGGACACTGAAATGGCCGCAGCTGTCTGAAGGCATGAAAGGGGCCAGAAATGCCGACTTCGCTCCCCGCCGCCTGTGCCAGCGTCATTTATTGATTAATGATTATCCAGCGTCATGCAATCACCTATGATGAATTATCTAGCCGAAGCTCCAGGCCCCGACGAAATCACCAGAAGTTCACCCTACTTCATACAGAACAGACGTGAAGCATATGGAATTATTTTCATCAACAGCCTACACGACATTAACAGTATCATCTGTTTGTTTAAAGTAAAAGTTGAAAACTTCAAGCACGAAGATGGTTTTGTGTTTACTTATACATAAGAACAGGTCCTATTCTCAAATTCAAAAAGATACGAGCATTTCATTCTCCCCCCTCCCTCTCGCTGTTCTCCTCGGGTTTGTGATATGGGGTGACCTGATCAAAATATAAAAATTGAGGCTTAATTGGGCATTTCGTAAGAAAAATCTAGGAGGACGTCTAAACTGGGCACAAGATCAGAACCGTCCGCAACTCGGGTGGCTTTAAGCCAACTTCCAGTGAAAGAAGGGTTAAGTTAAAGACTTGGTTTAAGGCCGAATTTAGAGTTGGCGGCCAGGTAAGTGAGGATCAAGTTTAAGGTTAGGGTAGGGGCCAGTGTGAATATTAGGGCAACAGTTTAGTTTTATATTGGGGTTATTGTAGGAGTTAGTACACGGGAATACTTCACCCCTTTTAGAATTATGCGCAGATTCACCTTTAGTTCTTGGGCGGGGCGTTCCTATTACCATGCCTTATTCAGGGGGCCACATAAGTCAGTCCTACCAGCCACTCACCTTCAAGGCTGAACCAGATGTGTTCTAGCCCAAGGTTGCCAACTGACGAGACAACTCGGACATCGTAGTCGACCTAGTGTGTGCTTTTGTGGAGCGTCCGACTGGTGGTCTAGGAGACAGGCTGTAGTTGTTCCTCCCTAATGTAATCTTGTTCAGGGGCACCCGAACCGGATTTGACGGCACGCCTAGGTGCGGCTTCAGCCACGCCACCCCCTTTTGTTGTTGGTAGTTAAAATCCTGGTCATTTGCTGTGTGGACCATGGGGGTGGGGAGTGGAGTGCAAAGTTATGGGCTCGAGCGTGCCAACAAAGCACGCCCTCCCCCGAATCCGGTCTTCTTGACTCTGTCTTGACACCGGGCCCAGGCGTGGGAGGCAGGTGAGGGTGTGGTAGATACTACGCAAGTCCACTATCACTATAAACTACTTCACACAAAAGTCACCGTCCCTGCTTGATTTAGCCGGGGGACAGACGGTGGACATCATCGGTAACGACGGTCGGACTGTCTTGACGCATACACAGCTTTCCCGACGCCGAAAGACATCATCGTCCGGCTGCCAACTCCCCAATCCCTTTAGCAGTCATTCTGTACAGAATACACTATTCTCCTAACTGGCGTTCAATTCAGGAACGAGCCTGAAGTTGGAAATATTGGCAGCAGAATGACAGCTGCATCGTCCGGCGCTGAAGAACAGACATAACGTGATTTTTCAATCATGACTTTTTAGCCTAGCAAGCTTTTTATGTTGATATTAACTTAGAAGAGAGTTTTAGGGGTCACTCATATAGAGCATAATTTACTAAGCTAAGAGAAGTTTGAGGCATTTTTCTCGGGTAGGAATTGTAAAAAGGCATGTACGGCAGAATTTATTGGAGACAATACATTTCGTGACGGCTTATCAACTGCAGCCCGTTTCTGCATAACATAGGTAACGAACGGAAGCGCACAGCAGTATGAATTTGTGCAGAATGTTAGTGCATAAGAGCAAGGTCAAGGTTTAAGGCAATGAATAATCCGATGAAAGACGTTTCCATAAGCATCATATAGGGAAGAGGGAGACGGAGTGTTAACAGCAAATCACATTTACAAGCAACTTAAGGCGGGAAGGTTACCAGGGCAAATGGAGATTGATGACGTGGTCTAACTGCTTGCGCAGGTCTGGTTTCTCCTTCCGTATGTAAGCTGCCTCCAAGTAACGCAAGGTTTGAGCTGTATGCGCTCGGAAAAGTACTCGAAAAACTGTGTTAGTATCGACAACATGACCACTATCTAACAGGTGTTTCGTTATAGACGAATGGGGAGGGGTTGTTTTCCTGTTTGATAAGCCAATTAGGCAAATGCTCAGCGGCCCTGGTTGCCAACTGCCTTTGAGGTTGCTCAAGCGAAGAGAGTCAAATAAAGGAAGGAAATGATATGAAAGTGAAAAAAATCACATAATAGACTGTCCCTGTGCATATGATATAAATATTATTAAGACTGGTTGATCGAGAACCTAAAAACTCCGTCTCTAATGGACTGGTCTATGCATTTGTCAAACAGAAAAACAGTCTCAGATGCTTTACGATATCTAAATCAGTACAAAGAGATTTTTAATGGAGTTGACATTCAGACTGTTGGCAGAGATCAAATTGCTTCGCCAATCAGAGTTGGAGAGGTCGGTTGTATTTATAAAACCTAGATTATAATTGAGCTTTATTCGGATCACCCCGCCTGCGAGCGGTGAAGAGGGCACTTTCCTGAAGCATTGGGGCGTTCATCCGATGTTAATGAATGCCGTTACAACCACTGACATCCCTCACGATTTCTACGAACACCTTTGCAAACTTCCCTCCCCCCCTACGTCATGTGAGAAGGTTTTTTCTAAGTAAAAGGCAAAAAACAAGCCATTCCAATCGTTGAGAAGAACGTCAAACCTATTTGTCCTGTGTATTCTAACTTCTTTCTACTTTTTCTCATTCAGGAGGAGGGCGTTAGCAGTGCCCGCATGGAGGCCCACCTAATGACTCTGCAGCCAGGAGTCCACGTGAAATTCGTCCTGCACTTCAAGCCGCCTGTGGCCCTGGCAGATCTGCGTGTCAAAGCTGAACTGCATTCGAGTTCGGGCGCCGCCGTTGGTGGGTCGAACGCCAGCAGCCGTATTCAGGACATGTGGTTGCTGTTGGGCAAGGGCTTTGTTCCCCTGGCAGAGGAGGATCAGGACTCAATTCAGACGGAGGGCAAGGAGGCGCAAATTCACTGCGGGCCGATGTACAACAGGGGTCAGTCTCGCAGAGAATTTGGTTAACCAATAGCCGGCATCCTTACGAAGGCCGAGAGAGCAGCTGGGACACCCCTCTGTCTGACGAAAGCTGCGTCTGAAAAAAAAATAATAGAAAATAGGTGGGATTCATGGTTTGCGGGCAGTCATCTTTCCTGCCTTGTTTAATTTCTGGGGAAATTAATGCACGAAATTGGGGCAAATCTTTTGAGCCGACTTTTCCATGCACGGTCCGAAATTTGATATGAATGTTTCGGCTGAAACTCATCAGCTACAGTCGGTGACCGATCTCATTAAATTTTGGCTGAAATTTTGAAATTCGTTTTTGATTTGTAAGGATTACTTAGATGGGCTTGTAATATTGATTATCGTGAAACAAAATCTACTCATATTGCGAACTCGGCACGATGTCGGCTTTTGAACGCACTTCTTTTTGATCACCTGAAGAAACCACACTCCGTAAAAATAACTACTTAAGCAGCATGCATTTTTCGCATTGTTTTCCGATGACCATATAAACTATAATATATTTTATAGAAAACTCGCGTAAACATATGCCTTCTTCTACTAATGTGGTGGTATGTCAAGTTGACTTTTTATTTTATTTTTGAAGACGGTGCACATTAAGATGTTAGAAACGTTTTCCAATTCCCGAATAATTTTGAGCTATATTAGACGTTGCATTAGCTTTTATCGATTTCCGTCTACAAGACGCATGATTTCCGCGTAAAAAAATCATTTATTTCTCTATGACTTTTACAATGAGTGTGGACTTTGCTATACATTTCACAAAGAGTATTGATAAACAGACAGGCGCGATAGTGTATGAATGTACATTGCATGGTTTGCTAAATCGTGCACTTAAAAACTTTTCCAAAACCTAAATATACCCCCACCTTTCAACATAAAACGTAAAGCCGACGTGAGTTATCACCCGACAGGTAGAAAAGGGCCCTGCGGGCCGATATACAACAGGGGTCAGTTTCATAGAGAACTTTTTTAGCTAGAAGCCGCCATCCTTACAAAGTCCGAGAGAGTAGCTTGGGCGCTTCAGTTCTCTGTCTGACAAAAGCCATGTCAGGAAAAATAATAGGAAATCGGTAAGATTCATGGGTTGCGGACAGTCATCTTTCTTGCCTTGTTTAATTTCTGAGGAAATTAATGTGCGAACTTTGAGTAAATCTTCTGGAGCAGACCTTTTCATGCAAGATGCGAAATTCGATATGAATATTTGAGCTGAAATTCATTGGCTACTGAGGACTAACCGCGTAATATTCACAAACCGTCAACAGGCAGCTGCTAATAAAGCATAGCGAAATTGTTTACCGTACGCCTTTATCCCACAGTAGCTAATTGATTTCAGCTCACATATTCATATCAAATTTCGGGCAGTGCGGGAAAAGGTCTGTTCCCAAAGATTTTCCCGAAGTTCGCGCATTAATTTCCTCGGAATCCAAGCAAGGTAAGTTTAAACTGCAGGTAATGCATCATACAACACACGGGAAAAGCTGGGGGACCCACTGACGAGCCGAAACCATCGCAGCCGCGTCAGGCAGCGGCAGCGGCGAAACACGCGTGTCCTGGCTTTAAGTTAATACCTGTGTTGTTCGTACCGTATGGAATTACACAAGTCATTTTTCTTGTATGTGATCACTCGGAGATCGACTGACTACTGTTTGGCAGGTGGTACTCTGATGTTTGTACAGTCAGCTGACAGATCGACCACCCTCTGACATACGCATTACCCTAATATATACGATGGCAGAATGGCCTCTAAAGGTCTGGGAAGGAGGGAAATTAGGTTGCTCAGATATGACCTTGCCACCACCCCCCTATAAGAATGGCAACCCAGTCACTATTTCCATAAGTTAACATCGACTATGAACGATAATTAGCAGCTAGACATCCTGCCTGAATCAAATAACTCAAAGTAGGCAGCATGCTTAAAGACAAGATCAAGTATATCCGATTACCGGTTCGAATTCTGTTCGATTTCTAAATGGCAAAAGCCTTAAAAATAGACAACAGATTCATTGCTGCTTTTTAATTTCCTCAGAAATTATCTACAAAGTTGGAGTAGATCAGTAGGCTCAGACCGAGATGCTTATGTATGAATATTTGGACCGAAGTCCATCAGCCACAGCGGATAACCGCGTAATATTCATTAACTGCCGACAGGCAACTAGTAGTATATTGTAGGGAAAGGAGATACCATAATAATTGCACAAGTAGTAACCAAAAAACCACACGCGCGGGTTTCGCCGATATTCTGCCGCTGCATGACACACAGCTAAAAAGGGTTCGGCTCATCAGTGGGTCCCCCAGCATTCACCAGCCGTCCAGAAAGCACACAGGGAATGCTGGGGGATCCATTGATGAGCAGAACCTCTCGCAGCTGTGTTATGCAGTGGTAGAATATCGGCAAAACACGCGTGTATGGGCTTCTTTAACTCCTCTTTCTGTTAAATAAAATGCATAGAAGCACATTAAATAAAGAAAAAGGACGCACCCAATCACTTAGTAAAATTGGGCGTGCCAGGTGTTATGCAGTATTAAGGCCTCCAGGCCACTACAAGCCGTCAATCAAATGAAAGACACATTTGTTGCTTATTCTATTGCAGGTATTCAAATGGCCGAGCCTCACTTGCGAGTAAATTTATATTTTTGGAGTTTAAATCCGGAATCGTTTGCAGTTTGTTTGCAGTCGAAACCCTGACTGATCGATCGAAATAATGTTGCGTCATTTAGAAAGGTATATACACCGTTACGCAATTAATCCAAGAGCTTTGATTACAGTTTTTTGGTCCCGTAACTGCAGCCAATCTTTTTTTTCACAGATCGTATTCGTTTAAAGAAACGTTTCCGTCAAATCGGCCTTAGCATTTCTAAAAGACAAATGGGTGCTGACCGATTATGACGGTCAAATTTCATAAGACCACCTTTGTCTTACCCTTGTAAAACCGATGTTTGACGCATAAAAACCTCGAGTTAGCCCTCTTCGGTCGGCGGGCCTTGTTTTGTCCAACGCTCTACCAGCCAAACCATGACCAGATGTCTTGTCTGCCGCGATCGGGAATATTAAAGGATTATGTAATAAAAACAAATCTCATACGTCAAAATCGTCATATTTTGTCCCCTAATCAAGCCAGACCAGTGCACGGTCCTCAGACGTCGTTTTATGTCTATCCGACCGCAGGTCACGGAGCCGGAATTCTGTCTCTAGGCGTTTCCTGATGATGACGGGTACGCCCGAAACTGGAGTCTCGGAATCTAACAAGAAAATGCCTTTTTTGCAGGTTTAATCTACGAGCAGTATGCCGTTGTCCCCAGAACAGCCGATCACCTCACACTCCATCTCGTGGTCACAGCCGATACTGAGGCCTTGGTGGTCGTGGACATCCACATCGGTTCTCAGCTGTTTCAGAGGCAGTTTAAATTGAAAAACGCCAGTGACACGGCACTCCGGGCCGTGCCCTTATTCCTCTCTAGCATGCGGTGGCCAAATCGGCCTCAGGGAATTCTGAAAACGGGGTGAGCTTCCTACTGCACTTTCTATTAACTCGAGCAATGCCATAACTCCAAATGTAGACAAATCCTCGGTTATGCTTACTACGATGCACAAGAATAAGAAGAAGAAGAAGGGAACGAAGACGAAAAATAATCGATCAGTAATTTTAATAAAAAGGCGTTCATATCTAAAGTATTCTTTTAAGTTTCCAGACAAACTTTACTGAATATATAACTTCAAAATCATATTTTACTGTAATTCAAGGTTTATCATCTAAATGGTTACTAAGTACACACTTCAGAATCAGACATTTTCTGTCATGCTATCCATAGTTCGATGGTTGACCTTGATGTCTCCTTCTTCCCATGGAGTTGGGCTCCTGAGCGGCCATTGGTATACACGTTGCGCATTTTCCATGGATCGTCTTTGCGCTGCATCTCAAACACCTCAGACGAACTTTCAACGCTGACTCACGTAAGTTTTTCATTGTCCTGCACTCAGACCCGGCCTGTAATCTTTAATCTGCAGGGGGCGCTCACCGATCCTTCATACGGAACTCACTCATTCCGTTGTGCCTTACGGGCCCTCTCTCGAGCCCAACCAGCAGCCGCACAGCGGCTCAGGAAATGGGCAGAATGGCATTACCGACAAATACAAGGGAGACTGGAATGGCCATTTCTGGCTCATTAGCCGTCGTCAGCCAGTCATACCCAAGCTCGAAGTGTGGAACACCCGAGCCTCGAATTCGCGACCTGTTAGCTTAAAGTCTACGCCTCGAACCACTGAGTCACGAGGCCGTTGCCTTGTCGGTTTTCGATCGGGAATATGCAATGGTAGGGGACGCTCACCGATAGTTCTTACGGAACTCACTAGTCCCGTTGTGTTTTACGGGCTCTCCCTCGAGCCAAACCGCGCATGATATAGGCAGAATGGCATTACTAACCTCGGTTGTTCCACTCTTCGGGATTGGGCATGACTGGCTGACGATGGCTAATAAGCCAGAAATGACCATCCCAGTCTCCCTTGTCTTTATCGGTTATGCCATACTATCTGTAAGACAGTTTCGCTCTGGCTAAGTGAGTCTGGTTGCGGTGTTTGCAGTCGGTGATAGCAACGACCGAGTCGACTGCGACGAGCAGGACTGCCAGATGTTGAAAACATGACTGAAAATTCTGTTTAATTTCTCGGGTTAACTTCAGGAAAACGACCTGAAATCCTCGGTACTTCGAATCAGTCTGTCCGGCTGGATGGTGCATAAAGTGCATTGAATATTAGGGAATATTAGGAAACTATTAGTTGCATGTCTTTACAGTCCGATATTTCCTTCGCATGCACGCTGCGCTCACAAAATGGGATTTTCGCATATGTGGCTAACTTGCGTTGGATATGGCTTGCTGATAAGGCCTGCGGAGTAAAGAATAGTCAATCCATGCCTCCTATTTTTTGACGGCACTCGCTTGGTTAAATTACTGGTCGCTATGCAACTGTACCGGAGGGGCCCTAGGATGCGATGAGTCAAGTCTCTCCGAAATCCCGTTCGGTGAACGTCTTTACATAATAGTTAACACTTTTGCTCATAACCGGCAAAACAACAGACCCCTGGTCAAACGGTTGCATGTTGGATTACTAAACGTCAAATGATCTGAAAATCCGGATCCGAATTCCAGGTTACCCGGAGTTGGATTTGGTTACGATCAACTGGCAATGAAAAAGAGTCAATACTTTTTATCGATCTCAGATAAAATGCTCGATGGCACCCTAGGCATTGGGAACAGGGCCTGCAGTACTGTGAGGATGAAAAAAACAATCAGTCTTTCTAGTGAAACTAGAGACCATTTTCAATCACAATTGGAGATCCAACATGGTAACAGGATTTTAAGTATGTCATGTCGATACTGCGAGTATGACTTTCGCAGTGAAATTTTAATGTATCCTATTACTTCCTAAATTCCATAATAAACCCCTGCGGCAGATCTCTTTCGGAAAAATAAACAGTTTACGTCGTCTTTTGAAGGAAATAAGGACTATCATGACTAAGGCCCCCATCATGACATCGTCATTTTATTCGCCGCAAATGGTGACGCAATTCGGATCATGTCGAAAACGGGCTTTATGTTAAAAATGGACAAAATGTTCACTGACGGAGAAACATACAACCCATTCCTCGGCAGTTTGACTAAAAACTGACAGCAGTTAAAAAGAAGTAGTTGAATGAGCTTGCTTGACGGAAACTTACGGACGGCAATGCACAAGGGCTAATATCCATCAGTGGTTCTCGCACCGGACATATGGATGGCCTTGAAAGTTTGGGCGTTTACCGTACACTTAATCTGATTACTCATCCATCAACTGATCAGTTGCTTAAATGGCGTCTTAAACACTAAACTGGCGGGGCTCAGTATCGCATACAAAATTCTTCAGCACTTTCTCAAATACTGAAAAACCCAAATGCAGGTCCTGTGAAATGAAATCTCCTCCATGACGTTGCCTTGTTTTCCCCAATGTTGATTGTTACACAGATGACAGTTGTATTACTTAATTGATTAACTTGTGTTTTAACTGACGCCTAAGGACAGTATTATCCGTAGTTTATAAAAACAGAACTCGACTTGCCGATATAACAGCTCCTCGCTATAATAGTCATATAGTGATTAGAAGATCACTTCAATCGAGGTCCTAAATAAAAATTAGTCTTCGTTACTTTGACGACGCCATCATGATTTTAAGGGGCCGCGAGGCAAACAATTTCATCAGGATTCAAATAGCGGGCTCCCATTGGCAAAATGTCGTCGCAAGGAGACATGAATCAAAAGTTTCTTGTTGCGAATGTTTGCACACATGAAATCAAGTAATGGAAACTTCGCAGCAAACATCCAGAGGAAAAGCTCTGATGCTGTGATCATCCTGGACCATGGAAGCAGCCATTCAGCATCGACCAAAAAAGACCGTGTCAGAATCTTCTGCCATCGTGAATTTCGAGATTGTACTAATGATGGTTTAGTAAAGAAAAGGGAGAGCCAGTGCCCTTCGACCGCATATCTTAATTCCACCAGCACCTCATTAAATTTATAAGACAGCATATCTGAGATCTCAAGCATAAAAATTAATGTTATTACCCAAAAAGACAAGGGAGACTGGAAAAGCCTTTTCTGGCTTATAAGCCGTCGTCAGCCAGTCATACCCAAGCCCGGCCCGATAGAGAGCCCGTAAGCCGCAACGGAACGAGTAAGTTCCGTAAGAACTATCGGGAAACGCCCCCTACCACAGAGATTAATATCCAACTTTATTGGTGACCGCCCGCCGTAACCAGATTAGTGATGAACTCCTCCCTAAGCCATTTAATTTTTCCAATCGCGAAAGGAGCGATTCATGAGCCCGTGGATTATTGACCCGTGATTGAGTTGTAGTTGGCTGATGTTTGATAATGGGCCAGAAATGGGCATGCCAGTCATCTCAGTATTTACTCGGCATACCTATGTGTCCTTTCAATAGACAGCACTTAAGCAAACCTTTGGCGTGACTCTATGTACTTGTTTTGGACTCTTTCTACCGCCTAGTTTTCCCAGAAAGGTGTGTGGACCCCCGGGACTGAGGCGGTGATTGAGGTTAAATTAACCTTCCTGGTTAATTTAAGCGGTAACAGCTACCCTTCGGTTGGTCAGCATGTGACTGCATTTCTCGCATCTGCTTCTGCGGCAGAGGGAGCCGAAAACCAGACAAAAAACTTCCACATGTCTTCGTTGCCATCGATGCCAGATGACAGTGAAGGTAAGTACTTCTGTTTGTAAGAACAGGAGATTTTTAGATGTACAGTAGATGTGCTAACTCATGAAATGTCAACCAAAATTTCCAAGTGTGTTCTCGTTCCGAAAAGATAAATTAAGTAGTATTGTAAAACTAATCATCATGCAGCATAAATCTATAATGATCCAGTTAACTCAGGGCGTCAACTTTCGAAAGAACTTATTGTCGGCTGCATGCAAAATCTATACTTTGCAAAAAATGACTACGTAAGTAGCATGCAATTTTCTCATTGATTTTCGATGCCCTTGAAAATTCAATTATGTTTCGTGGAAAACATGCATAGAAATATTCATCCTTTCACTTTTTAGGTAAAAAATCACGTCTTCTTCCAATTTCATACTCGAAAGAAAAGTATAATTCGGTTTTAAAAAAGTTTATAATTTTGAGATCTTTTAATACCGTTAAATGGCCGTTCATGAAACGTCATGTATCTGCATTTACGAATGTGGCTTGTAAAATTAACAATATTGCTCAAATCCACTGCTTAATTTTATGAACTACATATGGTTTCCTCTTAGCACCGTAGTGAAATGCATGGTTCTCCGTACACGGAAAATATACAACTTGTAGTTTTGAAACCCTGAATGCAAGTGTAACAAGAGGTCGGGTTCAAAATTATTCGGGAATTAGAAAAGTTTTTTTAAACCGAATTATACTCTTCTTTTGAGTATGAAATTGGAAGAAGACGTGATTTTCTACCGAATAAGTAAAAGAATGAATATTTTTATGCATGTTTTCCACGAAACATAATTGAATTTTCAAGGGAATCGAAAATCAATGAGAAAATTGCATGCTACTTAAGTAATCATTTTTTTCAGAGTAAAGATCTTGCATGCAGCTGACAATAAGTTCTTTCGAAAGCCGACACCCTGAGGTAACTGAATCATCATAGACTTATGCTGCATCATGATTAGTTTTACAACACTACTTAATTTATCTTTTCGGATCGAGAACGCATTTCGAAATTTTGGTTGACATTTCATGAGTAAGCACATCTACTGTACATCTTCTTAACGCATAGTAATGCTCTAAGAAATAAACATTTCTGACTTTTTAGGTGACGTGGTCATTTTCTTATCTTCGCAGCCTTTGATGCAAATAATCGACCATCATGAAGGTCAAAATTGTAGCCAGTTTCTCCAAAATGAGATGCAATTTGCAAGTTTGTATCCAGTCTTGAAGCTACCAGTTTGTGGTCCAGGAGACGGGTCTCCAATTTATGTTCATTTTCTCCGACGTAGTTTCAGTTCCCATTGTTGCAGCATGTTCAAGGAGCACCCACCATAGGACGAAGCACCTCAATAACAGAATGACTCGCACATGAGACCTGGTATTCAGTTGCTTACATCTATAAACTGGATTTAGATGAGCAGAATAAACCCTGAAATCTGAAATATAAGTACTTTTGTGTTAGAAGTCATGCGAATTTCTCAGATGTTCACACTGTTATAGTGTTTATATGATGTCGCTCACTAATGACATGGAAGTCCATTTTAACTTCATTTGCCGTCTTCTGAGTTAACTGTGACTTAATATTTTTACTCATCCTACTGACTGACTTAAAACCCTATTAGTGACGTTTTCTTTGCTTTCCCTGTCTCCGTTTAATGATTTGAGGCCAAGGTTTAAATCCAGCTACTATCTACAACTGGAAAGATTTCCGTAAATTTCAGTGGAAAGGGGGCCAGTAACAGACCTCTTGGTTAACCAATCAGAAATAGAAGTCAATTATTGTCCGTTGGTTGGGTCTAACTTCTCCGAACTCCCCCATGTGCTCTCATTCAATCCCACTGGGCTTCTATCCAACCTTATTGCGACAAGGCTCTTGCAGGAGTGCAGAAGTTAAATAGGGCGCACTACCTGAATTGCTGAGTAAACGGAGCCGCAGTTTCTGGGCTGCAGTGATCTCGATGAATGACATTTTTCTTATGCAAACACTATATCTAGGGCGACACAATTGTTGACTTGCGCGCAGAGTAGGGATTTTGACGGCATTTTGCGTACGGCAGGTTATGCGTAAGAATATAGATTTTCACCTCTGAATTATAACTCCCTGAGTCACGGAATAATATGATTCTATCTGACTTTTACTGTCGAACTGTTTAGAGACCTCGAATATTAATCAGAAATATGGACAGAAGAGTTCTCATGTGTTTTATTTGACTAAATATCAATTTTTGTGTTTGAAATGGGTTATTGAGCCCAACCAGAGAATAGTGCTAATTTCCCTGAGTACGTTATTAAATTAAATTGATCAGTATTTACATATGGCTGACCGACTGTTGGCAGTTTGCAAATAGTACGCCGTTATTCCGCCGAAACCGATGGGTTTCAGTTTAGATGCTCAGAACGGTCGGCAATACAAATGTTCACTAGCGTAATTCCAGGAAATTTAAATAATCCCCTCTCCTAACCCTAACACAATTCTTAACCCTAACTTTGCCTTAAATCTGACTTAAAACCGTACCCTAGAGCTTTCGCTACCCATAACTCTAACCTCAATCCTCCTGGAAGTTAGCACAAAGGGCCGCCGGAATAGGGGGGGAGGGGCGTGTTGTCTTCCCATGCCATACCAGTTAATAAATACTTATTTACGACCGACTGCCTGTTGGCAGTTTGTGAAAAATCCGCAGCAGCTGTAAAAAAATATGCACCGTGACATTTACTCCAAGTTACCGCACTAATAAAGGCGAAATATCGAGATGCAGGTGTATGCATAATAGAAGAAGAAGAGTCGAGCACCGGAACACTGTTTATTATCCTGAGTTTTCAGACTCGTACAGCTTCGTTCAGACGCTCACGCCGGAAACAAGTGAAGTCCAGAATTGATTGAAGCCTGATGTTCGGATAAGAACTCGGTCAATCGATTTATCGATTTGGCGCCGGCGTACAGAGCCCTGCATATTCACCTCCAGTCTTGCGCCGTCGGTCGATGATTGGCCTACATGCCTTATAACTGCCGCTTGTTCAGCTGCTGCTTCTATCTCTGACGATGGACTTCTGTACAAGTCTGAAATCTCAGGACAATAAACAAAATGTTCCGGTGCTAGACTCTTCTTCACTGCCGCATTAAGTTCTGAGGAAATGAACGAGCTTTCCAGCCGGTAGTCATTGTTAGATCTAAACAAAAGACAGCAATTGCGTTTAAATTATTGAAACAGTCTCCAGTTTCTCCGATCTCAGGTCAGGACACTTCCCTGGCATAGAGTTCAGCAAAACCAAATTATGCACAACGCGTCCTGTGCTCTGTAATTATCTTTTCTGGATTGAGATCTTGCTGAATTCGGAAGCATCTCCTGACCTTTCCAAACACTGCTGTTTTTTGCACCCCCCATTTAGAACATCTCGGGATGCGAGGTTTACCCGGAGCAATTCCTCGAATGGGCTTTTTAGTTAACGAGGACGAAATAGTGTATTGCACCGTCTTACGAAGGGCATTCTTAGCGCCCACATATGTACGCGAATGCTTCCGAGCCAGAACTGACAGCCCTCGAAAATGGCAAGGTATGGCAAGTGCAGCCTACATACCTAAACTGCGTCGTATACTTTGCCAAAAGTAGGTACCATATATTGCTTTTCTGTTTCAGTTATCGATACTGCTGTGGCCTATATTGGGGCTTACATAAAGACCAGCGGCAAATTTCTGGGTGTTGGACAGCAGGGCGGAGACTTTTTGGCAAGTGATGCTTCAAGAGGACACTGGTATCACTTGGGGAAATACTACTACACTCACTACGCCAACAATATTTCCCGCCTAGATGATCGAATTCTGGCCTTCACGTTGTCTGGAGAGGAAGATGTTGTGGATGGTCATTGCAAACACTTGGACAAAAATTGGTCAGGTAATCTCAAAAAATGCCAGCACAGCGCACTCCTTAAATGGAACAGCACCCCAATCCTTCGGCACTATATAACATAGGGTGGAAGACTTATGGTCCTTTTCTTCTTCTTCTTCTTCTTCTTCTTCTTCTTCTTCTTCTTCTTCTTCTTCTTCTTCTTCTTCTGGTTCTTCTTCTTCTTCCTCCTCCTCCTCGTCGTCCTCGTCCTCGTCCTCCTCGTCCTCCTCCTCCTCC